TGTGTGTGTGTGTGTGTGTGTGTGTTTGTGTGTACTGAAGTGTGCATGCGTATGTAGCCCTCTACCTATTTACCATGCTGCAGCAAATTTCTCTTTGTGGAGAACAATAAAATGTTGTTTTATAGCAGCAGAGAATCTTCAGAAATACATGTTAACTTATTAGACGAAACAAATATCACTAAGATATTGCATAAGTGCACACTCTAGATAAAGGATACTAAGCTCAGATGTGGAGAATATTTTTTCATGGTCTTTACAACACGATAGGTTTCCAAAAATTATTCTGCTAAAAAGTATTATATCCGCAAAGGATAGATTATATTTTTAGTTTAAAACAGTATCGGAATCATTTTATCACATGGCAATAAAGCATGGCTAACAACTGTGCACCGTAAAAGTACTCAGTGAAATCAGTGTCTATTGTTTGACATTTAGGTCTTCCCTTTCATGCTGCAGGTTTGAAAGTTTGTACACTCAATTTACATATACATGTATATACATATTTATAAGTTAAAATGACTGTGACCATGCGAGTCGTACACATTATGAGACTGTTCCACTGCACAACCCTAAATGACATTAGAGGACAATTTTTCCTTCCGAGACCTAACATTGAGAACACGCTCTATGGAATAATATTACAGCAACTGCAGCAAACATGCACTTATAGCTACATGGCATTGGACAGAAGGGTGAGGGCCCAGGTGTTACTGATTCGACGACGACATCTACGACAACAACAACAACAACAACAACAACAACAACAACAACAACAACAACAACAACAACAACTTCAACAACACAAGAAGTTGATAGAACATTACACCACACAACCAGCGTTCTCACCTGAATAGTATCAGTAGAATCAACACTGAACCGAGTGTCATCAAAGTGTAATGTAATACCTCTGCCAGAGGCAGTATTGATGGTCCATGAACATTCTACGGAGTTGGCATAGTTTTGGTTGGGAAAACCAGGAGAAGAAATCTCTCCGCTATCACTTTCCAGGGTAAAGGAGCAGCCTGTGAAAAACAAAACAATTGCACAATTTCCAGTGGCATTTATCCTTTTTGAAAATTTAAACAAATGAGGGCTGATATAGTATCCCATTACGTTGGGCTTGTGTAACTCTAGAGTATAAATGAGGAATCTCAAAGAAGGCTTTTGAAGATTTAAATAGAGAACAACAATATGACGTACAAGTCAAGTCATCAGTTATCTCATTCTGAAAATAAGACATTTTGGACAAATGCAACACACTCCCCGA